TGGGGACGCCTGGCACCTCTGTGGGTGGACCGGGTGTTCTCACCTCCAGACAGATGACTGAACCCTGGTGCTCCCGGAACACTCGCAGCTGCCCCCCGGTCAGGATGTCCCAGGCGCGGACGGTGCCATCGGTGCTGCCCGTGAAGGCCATGTGGCAGTGTGTGTCTAGAGCCAGGCACAGCACAGCACCTGTGTGGCCCCTGAGGGTCTGGTGGCAGCAACCGCTGGCCACCTGCCACACCTTAGCCGTGCCATCAGTGCTGCCTGTCACCAGCAGCCCTCGGGCCACACCCTTGTCCTGCTGGCTGGGGCCACCACGGAGGTCCTCAGGGGCACAGTAGGCGAGGGTCAGGACACAGTTGTGGTGGCCCTGGAACTCCTGCAGCATCTGCCCCTTGTCAACGCTCCAGCAGCGGGCAGTCCGGTCATAGGAGCCACTGAAGAGGTGGTTGTCAGCCACTAGTATCCTGGGAGCAAGAGGGGGAAGGTCAGAGGTCAGATGCCAGGCTGGCCACAGGCTTATATTGCTCCTTAGCAGGTCCCACTGCCAAGGGTCCCCTTGGCTGATATCAACAGTATTCAATCGTCTAGCCAATGGGGAAGGACAAGACGCCTCTAGCGGACAGGAGATGTGAACCTGAGGAAACCAGGGGGTCAGAGTCCCTGGTCCCTGTTTCTGGAGAGGACAGTGAGGGGGTCCAGGCAGGAGGCTCCCCACTACCTACAGAGTAAGACCCAGACCCAAGGTCTGCTCAGTCTGGCCTCAAACATCCTCCCAGCCACACCTCCACTCACCCCTGCAGGGACCCCCCAGCCCTGTGTTAGAATTCACACAGCCTCCTGTCCAGCCAGCCTCAGCACTGCTGCCAGAACAGCTCCTTGTTTTTCTACCTGGCCACACTTACCGTCTGACGCCAATCCAGTCTCCTCCTCCAAGAAGCCTCCCTGAAGTCGCCCTCACACTTGCCTCCCCCCTCAGCTGATTTCCCTCCTACATTGAATCCTCTGTCCATTTGGACTCCATCCTCCATGGGAACCAACGTCCCAGGGAACGCCCTTGAAATACTTAGATGTTAGCAGTTGGCTCAATAACTCACTATAGACAGCAGGTGGAAAGGAGAGAGAGAGGTGGAGAGAGACTGGGGAGGGTGGCCAGCTGCCAAAGACTGAAAGGATCAGGTGGCTGGGTAGGGGGTTTCAGATGGACAGACCCAGAAGAGGAAGGGAGGCATCCGTGCTCACAGCTCAGGACACCGCCCCCAGGAGAGTACCCACCTATGACTTCTATAAAGGTCAGGTCTGAGGGCAGGGGGCGTGGGTGAGCCGGACCTAAGGCTCGGTCTCTGATATGAAGCGGTGGTGTGGCAGGGTAGCTGGTAGGGAGGGAATGGCACGGGTGGCAGGTACAAGGCCGTGCCAGGACCTACTGTCAGCTCAGACCAGGAGGACCTCATGTGTCCAATGGCCAAACTCTAAGGCCCTAGCAGTAAATATCCACAATCCCCCCTCTCTGAAGAATGTGGAGGCCTCCCCAGGAAAATGCGAGAGAACCCTGCCTGTCCCTTTGACGGGCACAAAGCCTCCTTGTTGAGAGGGCCTGTGTGCATAGCGGGGTAGTGGGGCGGGCACCGGGTA